GGACCACCCCGCTCTTCTCAGGGGCAGGAAGTGGCCTGGTGATCAGATTATCACATCCCCCCCCCACCCCCCACCCCTGCACCAGATTCAGGACCCTTGATAGACATGATGCTCCTCTGCCAAGCCTTTTATACCTGGCTCTGGCTGACGTGTTGAATCTCTCCCTCCCTAACCATCCTGTCCGGCAGAGATATTCAGATTCTAGGAGGAACACTAATTGTGGAATGTAAGTAACTGTGATAATATTTTACGAGGGCTTGTGGAAAAAAGTAGAAGGCTCCTTGTGTCCATTCAGATACAGAGGCCCAGCATGCCCTTTGTGGTTCATTTGCATGGAATCGGGGGCTTCAGGAACAGAGAGAAAAGGGTAGATCCACTGTACACTGTTAGTATGCTGAAAAAGAAGAAAAGACTAAACTTTTGATTTAGAATGTTTTCAGGTTTAGAAGACAGAGCCAGAAGAACAGAGTCAAACATTCTAAGAAAAAGATTTGTTTAAATAGCTTAAAAAAGGGGGGGGGGGGAGGTGGGGTGGGAAAAAACCAGTGTAAATGTTTCCAGTTGTCCTTTCCTGGGATACATGGGAACTATATAAAATTTACAATTTCTAGTACTGTAGTAATCTTTTAAAGATTTTATTTATTTGAATGAGAGAGAGAGAGAGAGCGCCCACCAGAGGGGGGGTGCGGGGGGGAGGGGCAGAGAGAGAAGCATACTCCCCGCTGAGCAGGGAGCTGAGGTGGCTTGATCCCAGAAACTGGGATCATGACCTGAGCCGAAGGCAGATGTTTAACCGACTGAGCCACCACGAACCCCACGCTGTAATAATTGTATTTTATTTGTTACTATGTTTTAAAGATTTTATTTATTTGTCAGAGAGAGAGAGAGAGAACATAAGCAGGGGGAGGGGCAGAGGGAGAGGGAGAAGCAGGCTTCCCACAGAGCAGGGAGCCTGATGCAGGGCTCGATCCCAGGACCCTGGGATCATGACCTGAGCCGAAGGCAGACACTTAACCAACTGAGCCACCCAGGCACCCCGAGCTGTAGTAATTTTAAAAATAATTTAGTAAGATGAAATATATGAGAAGTAACTGGTAATGACAATAATAATAGTAATAATAATAATCAACATGTACTGAGGGCTTGCTAAGACTGAGGCATATCACTAAGAAATCAAAAGCCATTACCCTGCTTAATCTTCACGAGTTTTTTGAGGTATATTTTACTATTCTGTCCCTCCCCCATTCAAAGATGAGGAAAATGAGAGTTTTAGAGAAGTCAACTAAATTGCACAATATCCCTCAGTTATCTAACTGATAATGGTAAACTGACATCCAGCTAATGGACAGGTATGCCTTGGTTGATATAACCCCTGATCTGAAAAACTGATAAAATCCTAAAAACAGAACCATACTCTGAGATTAGGAGAATATGAGAATGGATTTCTCTTTTCTTTCCTTCCTCCTTTCCTCCCTCCCTCCATCTCCTCCCTCCTTCATTCCTTTTTTCCTTTCAATATATATATATTTTGAGCTCTCACTGTGCCATATATTGGGGTTGTGGGAGTAAATGAAACAGAGTCCTGGTCCTCATGAAGCAGACATTTCAGTGTAGAAAGAGAGATAATAAACGATGAATAAAGAATATATCACATGACAATGAACGTTACAAAGAAAGAGAAAGCAGGACTGGGGCATAGGCTAGGCTGGAGGGATGGGTCAGAGGGGTAGGGTGATCAGAGAAGACCTCTGGGATAAGATGACGTTTGGCATCTGGAGTGAAGGGATAGCTGGAGGAATTCCTGAAGTCTTGAGATGGGAGCATGTTTGGCATGTCCGAAGCATGTGACTGCTGTCGAGGAAGGAAGAGTTGTGGTGGTCGTGGTGGGAGCCGGTGATCCTGGAGAGTCTTGTATGCAATTGTCAGACTTTACTTTTACTATGGAAAGATAGTGGGCGATTCTGAGCAGAGAGGTGACCGATTTATGTTTTCAAGATCATTCTATCAGCTATGTTTGTATGGGAAAGGAAGACCAGGAAGGCAGTGAGAAGGACTGAGGGGAGAGAGAGAGAGAGGTCTGGACCAGAGTGGTGGCCGTGGGGAGTGGCTGGGTGTCAGACAGACTCAGTGGCAGAGCCAATGAGGTTCCTCAGTGGACTGGATGTGGACAGAGAAAGAAAGGCATCAAGGGCAACTAGAAGATTTTTGGTCTGACCAAATGGGGGGTATAGCATGATCATTTTCTGAAATGGGGAAGGCTGCAAAACATCCTTTTGCTTTGTTTTAGGTTTTGAGAGGGAGAGAGAGGGGGTTGGGAGTAAAGAATTTAACTTGGCATATGTCAAGGTTGAGATGCTTCACACAGCCAAGTGTAACTGTCAGGTAGGCAACTTGATATATGAGTCTGGTGTTCAGGAGAGAGATCCAGGCTGAAAATATACATCTGCGGGTTGTCAGCATAGAGAAGATATTTCAAGCCATGAATTTGCATGTTATCACCTAGGGAGTGGGTATAGATGGAAGAACAGCAGTCCAAAGGCTGACCTCTGGTCATCCCATTGTTGAGAATCCGTAGATGAAGGAGAAACCAGCAGAAGAGACCTGGGCCCATGAAAGGGTGGTGTCCTGAAAGCCAAGCGAGGGAAGGGTGTCAAGAAGAGAGTGACCCAGAGATTCAGTGTTGCTGATAAGTCACGGAAAATGACAGTTGGGGACTAACGATGGAAATGGACAACCGGACAGCATTGCTGGCTTTGACAAGTGCTATTTCATTGGAAATCTAGAGACAAAAACCTGATTGGGAAAAAAAAAACAAAAACAAAAAAAAACCTGACTGGAATGGGCTCGAAATAGAATGAGAAGAGAAGTGGCGGTCAGGGTTTTTGGAGAACGTTTTCAAGGAGTACTGCTGAAAAAGGGGGCAAGAAGATGGAGAGGTAGCAGAATGGAATGTGGAGGCGCTTTGTTTGTTTCAGGTTATATGCTTATACAAATGATTTATTAAAGGGAAAATGGCAAATGCTTTAATATTGTAAATTCTTACTCTTATTTCATCTGCTTCATAACATATGCAGTTTAGTATATTGGTTTTGCTTATACAGCAAATAATATCACTAATAAGTATTACTGGTGAAGTTATAATAGTGCCAATATTAGTCTTTAGTTATCATCCTGATCATAGGCATCATTTTGAATATAATATCTACAGGGTTTGGTCTCTACTACCTTTGTGACAGAAAGCTATTAGCTTCTTCACCTTGAGGTCTTCTGGGTGGAGATGCACTACTGGATGTGCTCCAAAAATCAAAGACAAGCTTTTGAATAAACTACATTTAGAGCCATATTATGGAAAAATGTTATGGAAAGAATTAGCCATTCACTCAGTTCAGATATAACTCTTGGCCTAGCAAATTTTATTTGGGCTACGGTAACTCAACTTTCTGAGTCCTATAAAAACACACTTGAATTGCCCATTACAGCTCCTTCAGCAGAGAAAGGCTAACAGCCACAATAGTAATAATAATGTGGACACAGAACCAGACTCCTAGCAGTCAGTAGCGGATTGGCAAGCTACTGGAAACAGCTCGGCTGGGGGAACAGGTCAACTTTAGAAGGCCTGAATGTTGGAAGGATATGACTGGACATGGTCATCCATTTTAGGTGAAACTACCGTTCAAATTACAAAAAAATCCAGCGGCTAGTTTATAAATTTCCCACCACGTTCATAACTCAGAAGGGCAGACTTTGGTTGTCCCTCGGAGTCTCCCAGTTCTGGAGTTTATGCTATTTGGTAGTTAAGTGCCATTTAATGAGGCTACAGAGAGCTTTTAGTCAATGGATTCAGTCCCTGCATGGCCGATGCTGGAGGTACAAGTCAGCGAAGGGGAGTGCGTGCAGATGGAGCAGCTCTGCATGCACAGATTCAGTGAGCAGGGAGAAAAGGAAGGGCCCTGAATCCTTGTTTCATGTCTAAACTCCAACAAAGGCCAGCATAATTCCCTAGACCATCTTAGGCAAAAGAATATAAAGGGGAGGGGGTAAAGTGTGCCTTCAAAACTCCTTTTTCTGCTGTCTCTCCCTATCTTTCATCAGATTCTCATTTTTCTTAAGCAACTCTTCTCGGCACAGGGCTCCATCGCCCCTGCTGGCTTCTGAAGTCTAATCCATACTTGCCTCCTCCATTAGGACTGCATGCCTCAGATTTATAAAGATCCCCTTTTTGGTATAAAAAATAATCTATCTCATGGTCAATTTCTCTTGTTCTCAGTTGGGTATTTTTCCAACTTTAATATGCATATGAATCACTTTTGTGATCTTGTTAAAAGGCTGAGTCTTATTCAGTAGATCTTGGTGGAGGGGTGGGGGAAGAGGCCTGTGGTACTGAGTTTTTGCATTTTCACAGGCTCCCCATGTGATTCTGATGCTGCTGGTCCACAGACCATACTTTTGGGTATGCCAGGTGTCTGACGCTGAGTGGATACTAAGGCTTACTGGGAACGAAGGTGGTAGGGGTTTATTGTATGTCGGCTGTCAGAAAACATTTGACGTTCCATGGGCATATTTTATGCATTGGCCAGAAAAGTGAATGAAATGGGAGTTTTAGGTGTCAGTGGCAGAGTTTAAGGGAGTATATTTTTGTCTGAATGAGAAACAGAGGCTGTTAGTCCTTTTCAAATTGAATTACCTTCAAGTCACCAGCAGTCTATAGAGCTAGACTTTAGTGGATAAAACCGGAAGCAATCCTCTATGAAGTGTGGTCTTTGTAGGGTAAGGACGAGTATGCTAAATGGATAGAGGGTAGACTCCAGTGCTGACGATTATTGGCTTACTCGATTTTTTTGTGTGGTATGTGCGCACAAGCGCGAGCGTGTGCGTGCGTGCGTGTGTGTGTGTGTGTGTGTATTTTAAGGAGGAGAGTTACATGTAAACATGAAAGCCTTAACCTTATCTCCCCACCACTCAGCATACCCCGATCACCTCTCATGTGTGTTCCACAGAATCCTGGGCTTCTCCTTATTGGAACTCTCATCACACTATGTGGGTTTGTTCTCTTCCCCATCAGACTGGGACTTGAAGGAAGAATTGTATGTGCTCATTGTATACACGGCCATCAGAATGGCGTCACATAGAGCAATGATTGAAAAGTGCTTGTTAAATGAATGGAAAAATCTAAGTTTTCCAGATTCCCAGAACTGACGCCTTTAGTTTCCCAACTAAGGTTGAAGGTAATAATCCATCAGGAGTCTAAGACATCAGAGCCTCCCTGAGGGTTGCTCACTGACTGTGCTTCTCTGATTCCTAGGCCTGTGGCAGGACTGTACTTTCCGCCTCCTTGTAAGGATGTGTGATTAGCCAATGAGTCGTGAGCCGAAGTAATGTGTGTCACTCTCTAGGTAAGAATTTATTTGCTAATGCAAGACCTCTGAAGACTGTCTCTTTCTCTCCGGTTCAGCACCTGGCAATGCTGAGTGGTAGCTGCTTCATCCCCCTTAGTCCCCAAAGGGCTACCACGAACAGATCTGCCGCCTGCATTGTGGACATCTTGTGTAAGAAAGAAAACTTTGTGTTCTGGCTATTGGGATTTTGATGGTATTTGTTACTGCAGCATAACCTCCCTTATTCTGATTAATCCAGGCTATAGGGGTCATGCCCCAAACTGAGGAATGCCCCGTCCTGCCTCTTCCTAGGCTCGGCATCTCTCTTCCTTCAGAAACTGGATGTCAAGTGTGGCCCTGAATCAAGTCTCTGGTTCTGAAAACAAGGCTTTTGCCTTTGTTCCTGAGACCAAGTTCACACCTCGAAGTTGGTTCTGATTTGACGACCCCTGTCATGGGTCTGCAACTAAGTTCCAGTGTCCTTAGCCCAGACTCTCTAGGGTGAGAGGCACTGTCTTGCTCGTGATTACACTTCTGAGCCCAGCTCACCGTCTGTTCGCCTGGATCTCTGTCACTGCCCCCGTTTCTCCATCCATGTGATCCACCCACGGGGCAGGGCACCCTGAAGACATGGTGTTGAATTCCATGCTGCTGATCCAGTGCGTGTGTTCCCACTGCTTATCTGTGGCTTCATTCTTTCTGCCATGATGATCTCATTGCTAGTCCCTGTCCTGAATCTGTCCCCAAACCCCAATGCCTGCCCCTGATATAATCAGGGAATTTTGTCCCAGTTTCCTGCCTTTCTCGTTCTTCCTGGAATCACTGCCGTTAAATGGGCCATGTGTATTTGTGTTCAGAGACATAACAGATGGGATCTTGGGGATTAAGGTAGCAAACAGAGAGCAGAGGGCTTTTAGAAGGATTAGTCTTTCGTCTGGTCGGGAGGGTAGAGAAGGACGCTGGGGAGCTGATTTGAAAAGGGTCACTTGGCCCTATCAGCATATGTGACAGTCGTTGGACTTAGTCCACTCTCAGTGTCCCTGTCTGTTCCTCTAAATATCTATAAAAGAAAGAGCAGTAGATTTAGAGTCAAAAAATATGGGTTTAAGCCCAGCTGTGCCATTTCCTAGCTGCGCGACCTCAGGCAGATCAGTTAACCTCTCTGAGCCTATTTGTTCAGCCGTACAAGAAAGCTGAAAAAGTGTCCCGGTGGGGCCCATAATGAGGCTGAGTGGGGTTTGTAAGGATCACCTGACCGAATGTTTGAGGAAGCACTTGGCCTATAGTAGAGTTTTATTAACATAACGCGGTGCTACGGTGATGAGGACAGAACAGACAGGCAGATGGACGAGACCAGCAGCTGAACAGGGGAGGGCATGCAGAGCTGAAGGAAGGTTCTAAGGGGAAGAGAGTTTAGGAGCATGAAGTCCCAGGAATCAGTCAGAAGAGGATGAAGCATCTCTGCTGAGGCTGTGCCAGAGTGTTCCTGGTAGAACATTCAGCTAATCATGCTACAGACTTACTGTGAGTCCCAACCTTCTTCCATCGGAAGTTCAGCCACACTGCTCCCCCCACCATTTGCAGTTGAGACGGGCAGATGTGCAGGGGGACAGGCTACAGATGGCACTGTTGCCGTATGATGGAGTCACTGTTTGCATATTTTGTTGCTAGGTAGCTTGGGGGCCTCTGGAGGCCCTCCTTTCTCTCACTGAATTCCCGGCGCAGCCACTTGCTGAGCCCGCCTTGCCTCCTCGCCTTTCCAGCTCAGTTCCCACACATGTGAAGGCTACGCCGGCTGCCCAGTAGCCAGGCATCAGCGGCTGGCAAGGCCCCCAGCCTGGAGCCTGGACCACCCAGCGAGTTAGAGGACTGCTGTGGAATGTGGGATCATGTTCTAGAGCACCGCAGGACACCCTGCTCCGTGGGACGTCCCATCTGTGGGAGTGGGACCTTCGGGGCTCTCAAAGAAGTGCCGACAGACTCCGGAAGTTCTCACAAGAGGCCCGGGTGAGGGGCGGCCATTTATTTCAAGGCCTTTCCACCTGGCAGGTTTTTCCTACACAAGTTGTTCCTGGCCCAAACCTTTTCTGGCTTAGAGCAAACAGAACACCCAAGGCAGAGGGTAATAGAGCACGATGGGCCGGGGGTGGGGGGTGGGGGGGGGGGGGGGGGAACGACGTAGGAAAGATGGCGGGAAAGTCACATTATTAAAGTTGAGGGGCCTCTAACAAGATGTCAGGAATGAGAGAGGGTTTTGCTGATTAAGGCTGGGATCACCTTGAAAATGGATTAGTCTGGCAAGCACTCTCAGGTGACTAGGCTTGGAGAAAGTAGAAATACAGGATAGTCATAAAAATGGAAAATCCAGATATCAAAGGCACAAAATAGCTGAAGCAAAGACTAGGGGAAAGCTGGTTAAGGAGATTTCAGAGAACCAAAACAGTGAGGGGATTTATTTTTTAAAAGACAATTAAGAGTTCTTAGGGGAAAATGTTTAGACTGACAACGGAAGATTATAATAGTAGAGAAAGTCATTGCTGCAAAGTGCCTGGGCCCTGAAGTTTGATGGGTTTACTGCCCCAACTCCACTACCCTGACCTGTGTGATGAACCCTGAACATGCCTCTGTGACTTGGGGCATGTGATTCTGGAAGCCTAGAATGCCCTTCCCCTGGTTCTCCCTCTGCTCACCTCCTACTCAGCCCTCAAAGCCCAGCTCTGATGCCGCCTTGGGAATCTGTTGTGTGTAGGTCCAGTTGGTCACATCCTGTCCATGTCCCCCTAGCACTCTATGGAAGACTCTGTTAGAGCTTCTGGTAATAACGGACATAAAAACAAGGAACAAACTCCAGCTCACATTTACGAGGGGCTTACAATGTTCCAGACATCATGAGCAGTACGGGGCAGGGATAACCTCATAGACTCTTCAAAAGAACATCTTCTAAGGTAATGCTCTTGTCTGTTGTTATCCGCATTTTATAGATAAGGGAACTGAGGCTCACAGAGGTTGAGTAACTACCTCAGCTGGACTGCAAGGAAGTCATTGACTGGTTTCAGAGGCAGCGCTCGCTCAGAGACCTGTGCTCTTCACCGCCATCTTGTACTGTAGTGACTTGTTCACTGCTCAGTCTCCTCCTCCCCCTTAGACCAAGCGAATCAAAAGAAGAGAAACCACACGTTAGTCAGCGGTGTCCATGCAGGCCCTCCATAAACATTTGCTGGATGAAAAGGTAAGTGCGTTTCACTTTGAGGCAAAGCATAAGGTAAGCTCATGAAACAACCCTAAAATGTCAATATCCTCTGTAAACTGAAGTCACATAGGCCACCCAAGAGAGACAACAGTTAGATCTGCCATGGGTCCTTGGCCATCATTCATCTGCGTTTCGTCCTCTTAGCAACACCACTAAGAGCATCAGCTTCTAATGTGGAGAGATGATACAGATGTGATAGATATGCCCAACCCTCCCTGCCATCAGGACTGATTTAGAGAGTCAATAGCATTCACACAAGGCAGGAGGCTGGAGGTCTTCCCCTATTCTTCATGTAACCTCATCTACAGAGTTTCATTGTGATCGAAGTATTCCTTTTGGCAGCAGTGCGCTCAGCGCACATACTAAAATTAAACAGGATATATAAAAATATCTTTCTATTACATCTAGGAGAAGGGGAAAGAGAGGAGGGATGATACAGGAATATAACTGGTGCAACACAAGGTAAGGCTGAGATGGCCCAGGGTGGCCACGGGGCAAAAGAAGGTTTCGTGTACGATAACATTTGTTGAGCATGCTGGCGAATAAATAAATTAGTAAAACATCTCATCAGGTCTCCATCACATCACTAATATCTCTCACGATCCCTGGCACATAGTAGGAACTTAAGACGTGTTGCATGAATGGATGGATAAGTGGCAGGTGAATGGACAATGTTGTAGACGTTTTCTCTTCTACCTGTAGGAAGGGCAGGAAGCTGGACGTCCAGATTCAGAGCCTCTGAGATGGCAAGCCAGACTCGTCAGGCAGCCTCGTTACAAAGGCCGTTTCAATCAGTACCTATTGGAGGGACACCTGTGCCTCTGGAGTTTCTAGCTAAGGGGACAATGCCCAGAATTGAGCTCATGGGACTCTGGTCACGGAACTGGATACAGTGGAAAGGGAATCCTGAGCCAACAAGCCTGTGAACAAACCTCACGTTTCCTCCTCCACTCATGTGGCGAATTTCTAGTGCGTGCAACTAAAGCTAGGTCCTGCGCCAAGCACTTCACGTACATTATTCTCCAACACTCAAAACAATTCGAAGGTATATACCATCAGGATCCCCATTCACAGATGAGGAAGCTGAGTCCCAGAGCAGTTAAGCAAGTTCTCGAGGCTACAGGGCATGTGGCCAAGCTATGATTTCAACTTAAGCGGGCTCCCTGACTCCAAAGCCCCCCCACCGCTTCCTCCCTCCTTCTTGCCTCAGACCTTAAAGAAGTCAAAGTTGAGCAGGGGGGTAGCTGGAAGACAAATGCAGTGTGGGCAGTGTTCTGTCAGAGGTAAGAACCGAGTGTAGTGCGACCGCAGAGGACATTTACCTCAGACTGGAGGAAGAAGGGTAAAGGCAGCAATCCTTCTGAGGGAGATGATACGCCCAGTCTCCGAGGAGGGCTGGGAGCTTATCAGGTGGAAGAGGCAGAAATACAGAGGTAAGGGGAGCCTAGTGCGTTCTTCCTCATTGCTCTTCATTTGTGTGTGAAGAGACTCATCCATCAACAAGGTACCAAACAGTCCAGCTATCGGCAGCCCTTTCTATTTCTTATTTGTCCACATGTAGGGGAAACTATCCACAGATTGAGGACACATGTTGAGATAAGTATTAAATAACTTGCTTTGGATCTTGAAAGTTTTAAAAATAGGAATTTTTACTACTCTCTCTTTTTTTTTTTAAGATTTCATTTATTTATTTGCCAGAGAGAGAGAGCACACAAGCAGGGGGAGAAGCAGGCTCCCCGCTGAGCAGGGAGCCCGATGCGGGGCTCGACCCCAGGACCCTGGGATCATGACCTGAGCCCAAGGCAGACGCTTAACCAACTGAGCCACCCAGGCGCCCCCTAATTTTTACTACTCTCTCTGCTCCCTCAAACATTTATGTTCCTACTTGCCTCAGTAGCTTTGCATTTGCCAATCTCCCTGCTCCAAAGACTCTCATTTTCTCTTTCTTTAAAAAAACTGATTAACTGTTTTGTTTCAGTATTATCATTTTCAATTCCAGTAGAGTTACCATACAGTGCTCTGTTAGTTTCAGGTGCACGCTATAGAGTTCCATCAGCTGCACACAGTCCTCAGGGCTTATCACCATGAGCACATGCTTAACCCCTTCTCTGTTTCTCTTTAAGCATTTTACCATGTTGTCCTCTTTTTGGCACATGGCTAATTCCTATTCATCTTTTGAGGGTCAGCTTAGCACCACTCCTTCTGGGAGGCCCTCCCGACCTCAAGGGTAGGTTGATCCCCTGGATAGTGTCCCCTAAACGTCTCTGATTATGACACTCATCATGCTTTTAGCCCCATTGACTTGTCTGTCATCTCCTACAAACTTTAAACACCAGGAGAGCCTGCAACTGTCTTGTTCCTCCTTTACCCTCCATGGTCACAAAGTGGCACATAATCGGCGTTCCATAAATATCTGTAGAATGAAGAAATGCGCAAGCTCACATTTGATGTTTTTTACAGGAAAGAAAATCCAAAATCAGCAGAATTTGATATCTAGGGAGTAGGGTCAGAATAAAGAAAGGAAGAAGAGAGGAAAAAAAGAATGATGTGTTCTTAAAAAAGGCAGAGTAAAATGTGACACGTGTATAGAATTTATAGAATTGTTGCATCCTTTATTGTACTCCCTGGTACTTCCTTAAACACATCATAATATTGATCTTATCAATAGTAGCACTCAATTTTCATATATTCCCAACACATGGACCATTTTCCTGAAAAAAAAAAAGTCATAAAAATGTTATTCATCACATTCAGGCCAGTGTTGCTCTTTGCTAGATTTATGGCATCTGAATAACATATAAAGGAAATCCTCAAAGTCAGGGCTATACACTTTCCAGGCCCCACTTATTATATTTTAAACATTTTGAACTGAATTTTACATTTTTAAGCGACTGATTTTTCATTTCAGTCCAAAGGTCCCTGCCTGTTTCTGAAATTTGCAACATCTGCTAGGGAAGTGAAGAGTGAAACAATTTTTTAAAGATCAAGTAATGAAAAAAAAAAAAGTCTTTCTCGAAGGGCTGTGGATTTTCAATTTGTTCCACATGAGACTATCTCAGGAAATTACCTCTTAACGGGTGCTCATCTTGTTTGTGCAGTCATATTCCCCTGATAGGAGTGGACTAGGATCTGAGGGAGTCTTACAACGTAAAAATTCTACCAGTCTGTCTTCCAAGGACAATATCCAGGTTTCCAGTTGTTTGTCATCTCAGAGGGATTCTTCACCTATGTGGGAGATCATTTTTTCCCCAGTTTCTATAATGAGTCATAATTAAGGCAAAACTATTGTTTCCTGTGAACAAAGCTAGATAACGTAGTTTTCCAATTACTGAGCCCAGGTCAAGGATAATCCTAGGGAAAACTCCCCAGAGTGGGCTGGGCGAGTATGTGCCACCCCAGTCTGTCCTCCCACCTTCTCCTCCGACATTGTTCTCTCTGTGGGCTGGAAATTCCCACCATTAGTCACTCGCTGGTGTGCACCTCTCACTTCTATGTTCAGTGACACCTCAGAAGTTTGGTAAATAAACGGTTTCAGGGGCTGAAAGAGGGCTTCAAGGTCACCTTCAGAGACTCCATCCCAGGGCAAGAATTTTTACTCATTTTCTATGTTGGCAGACCACAAGATAATTATGTTTGGAAAAGCTGTTCTGCTGCTAACTTTTTTTACAGTTTCACTCTAAAATTCATATGGCAGGATACAAGCTCAAAAATAATTACCCTACTTCTGAAGAAAAAGAAAGATAAGATGGGGGAACGACCCTACCAGGTGTGTGATGACTTACAAGCCATTGTCATTTGAACAATGTGAAATGCCTCTGGAAGAAGTCAAAAGATCAATGGAATAGAAGAGAGGGTCCAGAAATAGACTCACAAATTGAAGGAAAACTGTCACATGACAGTAAGGACATCACAAGTCCATGGGAAAAAAACCAGAATATTTAACAAATGTTTCTGTGACAACTGTCCATCCAAATGGGAAACACAGTTACATCTCTACACCATGGTATACCCACCCACAGAATTACAGCTGAGTTTCCATCTGGCAAAACAGCTCAGAACTCAAGCTCTATAGATGGAGGAGAACATTTGGGTCTTCCCAAGAGCTCCATAGTGGACCAGCTCCAGAGGAAGCCAAGGAGGGCTGACCTGACAGAAAACTGCCAGGGATCCACTTAGAGTCAGCCTAGCAGGCAGGAACACTTCCAAGGGCAATTTCACTGCTTCGAGTGTGCTAACATAAAGCTGGGAACCCAAGGATACAGGAAGACCCCAAAGGCAATGTTGCCAATGATGCTACAGACCTCAGTTTGAGTGACACTGACTCCTATCTTTGACAGAATGGTGAGTCAAGAAAAGTGTATGTATCCTCTCCTTCCCTCTTCTGAGCCCCTAGAACACTCCTAGTCTTGAGAGAGGAAGTATGTAGAAAGGTTAACACTTTGCTTAGGAGTGATCTAGATCTGGGTCTGAATTCTGGATCAGACCCATACTTTTTCTACGACCTGGGGACAATAGTTGCGCTTATATTTCCTGAGGTGACTGTGAGGATTAAGCCAGGTAATATATAGAGAGAGCATAGCACAGTGTCTGGTACGAAAAAGTGCTCAACAAACTGGTGTAATTATCATAGGCCTTTTCTCCTCTACTACACTTTGCAATGTTTCTTCTCCTTCTCTGAATTTACTTTATATTTTAATGACCTTCTACTGCCTACCAGGCCTTGTAAAAGATACTTTTACATATGTCATCTCACTGAATCCTCATAAGAACCTATCAGGTAGGTATTATGATTCTCATTTAATAGTTGTGTGTGTGTGTGTTCTTTCTCCAATAATACTATATACTAGTGTTTTTCAAACCACTCTAAAGGATTCATGAAATTTAAAAAGTTACTCTGTTGAATAAAAATTCCATGGCTATGAAAGTTGGAAGACTGACAGTTAAGCAAACTAAACCCTGCAACACATCTCAGAATTGTTGATAGGCTAAGGAAGGAGGATTCATTCACATATTTGATAACCAAAAATCTTTTTTAGAGTTTTCTCTCAGAATGCAGCTTCGGGAAATGCAGAATAAAGACTGACTGAATAAAAGGATCCGGTTTTGTACTTTCTGTGCACGCCTGTGGTGCACGGCATATACTGGGTACAGGCAAAGTGTTTAATAAATTCCAATTGCTTGATTGTTAAAAAAGATTTTATTTATTTGAGAGAGAGAGAGAGAGCATGAGCAGTGGGGACAGAGAGAGGGAGAATCACACGCCCACTGAGCAGGGAGCTCTACACCGGGCCCAATCCCAGGACTCTGGGATCATGACCTGAGCTTTCTGAAGGCAGACACTTAACCAACTGAGCCACCCACGGTTCCCCAAGTGCTTGACGTAGGTGTGAAATTACCTAGCTCTTTGCATACCAATGGGCCAAGATGGGGAGATGCGATCTCTCCTTTTCTCTGAAAGGGATTCCATAGTTTTTCTCATTATCTTTATCACTTTCTTTGAAAGCGAGTCAATAGTTTACATGTCTTCAAATTAAGAATGACTGGGATGAAGTCCTGACTAGGATGTGGACCAGCTAGAATGCCTGAACATTGAAGGTAAGAAAGCAACTGAGGCAGCCACTTTAGAAAACAGGTTGGCAGATTCTTATAAAGTTAAATGCAACAATCACACTCCTAGGTACTTACCCAACTGACAGAAAAATTTATGTTTCCCCAAAAACCAAATTGGAAACAACCCAAACGTCTCTCATCTGGCGAATGGATAAACATATTGTAGTGCATTCACACAATGTAATACTACTCGGCATTGAAGAGGAATCAAATTAATACAAACAACTAAGTAAGAATCTCAAAAGTGCTGCAAAATGGAAGTGAGATGCAAGAAGCTACAAAAGGTTGGATTTCATTTATACAACATCTTACATGACAAGACCATAGAAATAGAAAAGGGACCAGTGGTTGCCAGGACTGAAGGAGGGGAAAGGAACTGACTACAAAGGAACACAGGGGAATTTCTCACTGTGATGAAAACGTTCTGTTCATAGACTGTGGCTGTACTTAAAAGGGCTATGCTTTTATCAAAACTTAGGAAACCATGACTTAAAAAGGTGAATCTTGTAGTGTGTAGATTACAGCTTAATTTTTTAAATGGGAAAAAGTCACCTCCAAGACTGCTTACAATTTTGTTTTACTTCCAAAGTCAAAAATTACAGCCACTTTGGAAAACAGTGTGGAGGTGCCTCAGAAAATTAAAAAATAGAGCTACCCTATGACCCAGCAATTGTACTCCTGGGTATTTACCCCAAAGACCCAGATGTAGTGAAAAGAAGGGCCATATGCACCCCAATGTTCATAGCAGCAATGTCCGCAATAGCCAAACTGTGGAAAGAGCCGAGATGCCCCTCAACAGATGAATGGCTGAAGAAGATGTGGTCCATATATACAATGGAATATTACTCAGCCACCAGAAAGGATGAATACCCAACTTTTACATCAACATGGATGGAACTGGAGGAGATTATGCTAAGTGAAATAAGTTAAGCAGAGAAAGTCAATTATCACATGGTTTCACTTATTTGTGGAACATAAGGAATAGTATAGAGGACATTAGGAGAAGGAAGAGAAAAACGAAGGGGGGCGGAAATTGGAGGGAGAGATGAACCATGAGAGACTATGGACTCCAAGAAACAAACTGAGGGTTTTAGGGGGGTGGGGGGTGGGGGGATGGGTTAGCCCTGTGATAGTTATTAAGGAGGGCACGTACTGCATGGAGCACTGGGTGTTATGCGAAAACAATGAATCGTGGATCACTGCATCAAAAACTAATGATGTTATGTATGGTAACTAACATAACATAATAAAATAATATATGTTGTTTACAAACTTAAAAAACGGCGAGGAGTATACCGGTGTAATCTCCCAAGACGGCCGCTGCTCATAATTCATTCAAATTCTTCTTCCTGGCACTTTTCACCTTCACTTTGTATCCAAGCCGGCTTCCAAACCATTATCTGCCCTGAGGACAATTATACCGACTATCACTTCTACAATATCCGCCACGTACTACCTGTTACTGTAGCTCTTTCTCCATGTCTTGCCTTCCCTAAACTCTAAGTTTGGGGCAATAAAGAGCCATGCCTGACTTGTTTCCACCACAATATCCATTAAAATGCCTGGCAGGAGTGCTATAAAAATGTTTAATAAATAAATTGATCTGTGCTTAGGTAGTAGCGGCAAGTCTACCAGTCCTTCAAAGACTGGGAGCCCTCTGAAGACAAGGATTGTGCATACATAGCCTTGAACTGGTCGTTACTGTAAATGCTCCAGCAACGCTTTTTGAATAAATATTGAATGTAAGGACTCCAGGGGATTATGATTGTGATTTTATAAGATGGTGCATGAGCAGGGAAACGGACCAGGGCCGAGCTGCGGTCCGGTGAGAGAGCTCACTGCAGAGTGGGAGGGTAGACGGGGCTACTTCTTGGAAAACCTGGTAGCAGAGGGGAAATGTGCAGATCTCTCTAGGTTCCATCTCTTATCATGAGCTTTTTTCAGAGAATTCTTGGACGGGAGCATACTCGATTTGGATCCCGTTGGAATGACTAACTGGGGATGGGCTGCAACACGGCAGGTTTCCAACTGTGTTTCTCAGGCTTGAAACTCTTCCCAGAAGCAAAGATGATGAAGGCTTCATTTGTTAAGCATGAAAATAAAAACAGTTTATAAAGGGTTTTAAGGCAAATCTTTTCTTCCCTCTTACTCTTATCTCCCCTACGGTTGGCCACTCCCTGAATTTTAATCTCCTTTGGGAAAGAAAAGAGAGCTCCTTGTAACTCTTTTTCTTAAAACCAGACTAGGGGGAAGCATTGAATCTATTGTATTTGATGGATTTTATAAGATTTTAATTGTTATAATTACAGTTAAATAGTTCAACATCCCAAACATCCTAGTCTTTTAGGTGGCCTAAGGGGAATTGGTTTTATAAGGATATATAATAACATAATGAACACTTGCAAAGTCAGAGTTTTATACTCTTTGTACCTGATGACTAACACCCGCGATCCAGGAAACATAGACTCGGACCTCCATCTCCCTGTGCTTTGCCTGCTTCTAAAACAGCACAGCTGGCCAGCTAGGGCAGTCGGTCAAATACTTTGATATTATGTATGTGTGTGTATGTTTGTGTGCAATTTCTGGTTTAAAACTCTGATAAAAACATTTGTTATATATTAAAGCACTGAATTAAAAATGATTCCATCAGCTTACTATAAACCTCCTTCTCATTTAATGCAAAAAGGCTTTGTAGAAGTCGAAAAGCAATAACAAAAGTTCTGAAACTTTTCAAGTTCTGCCCAGAATTCCTAAAGCCAAAATTATTTTTGATACTTTATTGAGTATCCATAATAGTTTAGGCATGATGAGAAATTTTAAAGACACAGTCTAAGGAAAAAAGAGGTGCTATTCCTCAGCACTGGCCTCAGACCATCCATCATGAATCTGAGGTCAGATGTTTGTCTGGTTGGCATGTTAGGGGACCAAAGTCATTGGTTTGATCATAACGGGCCAGTGACTGGGGGCCAGTCCTGGATCCCAGTCACTCTAACCACAAGACTTTTAATACATACCCTTTATAATATATACCATATATATATATGTATATATATATATCACACCATATATATATATATAGTCACAGGGGAACCATACAGGGGTATCTGGGAGGTTCAGTTTAAAGATTAAAAGGATCCTCTGCTTTTTTGTAGGACTGGAGCCATCCTCACAGGCAAAGGGGCTGGAATTAAGGACAGACTCATATCATCACTGGGTAATATGGGAAGCTACCTAGAAGAAGTGGAATCAGAATTAACTGCCAAAAAAGGAAGAGCCTGCATAGCCACCACAATGAAAAAAGACTGGAATCTTAGAATTGTGTGTTAGCCTGTAAGGAGGCAATCAAGACAAGAGTGAGACAGGTCAAGAAAAGGGAGGTTTACCATCATCTGTGGGCGCTATGTGAAAAATAAACAGAATGAGATTGGAAGAAATCTAGTAGGGGCCAAGTAGAAGTAATTCAGAATGTAAAATCTGAAGTAGAATATCTAAAAAACAGTAGTG